TAGCAGGATTTTTTCATTAATTGAAACATGTCTAGCTTTCTAGAAAATGAGAAACCCATTTATCTGAATGGTGGTAGTGGGCTATGGGTTTTAACAACTTCTAAAAAAATATCATGTATCTAAATTTCCAAAAAAAATGAAAAAACCACGTGTCTAAATGATGGGGCTGTAGCTTGAAAAACTTCTTTTAATATATATATATATATATATATATATTAGATTTTTCTCTCTTTCTTTTTTTTTGTTTTTATTTTATTTTTTACTTTAGTCGAAACCCCATTTCTAATAGCAATCTCACGGATTAACTTTGGTTTTTGGGGCCCAACAGCATAGGCCGTTGAGACCGTTTCTGGGTTGAGCACCGGGCAATTCACCTATTCACGCTCATGCTTTGACTTTTAGTAAAAATAAATTAATATATAATTATTAATTTATCCATTGTCATGCTAACGATGGCATTTCCAGAAATTCTCTCATCAGCATAGGCTGTTGCCCCAACGGTTAAAGTTCACGGGAAATCACAGTTACGGTCTCTTCCCACCCTGATAATAGCATGGCTAGCAGAATCCAGGACCTCCCCTCTCAGCACCGAAAGACTAAACACAAAAAAATTGTAATTTAAATAAACTTACTGAATGTTGAAACAGAAGTATCTAGATTCCTCAAGTCAAAGCCCGCGAAACCAGACGATCTGCACACTTAATCCATTCATAGCAAACACAGAAAAACATACTATGGTCAGGTAAAATGGAGCTCACCTGAATTGTGTTGTAGCCTAAGATCGGTTGCTGCAACAGAGTTTGTGAGTTTCCTGGGTTTGGATCACTCTCTCAAACTCTCATAATCATCCAAACTAATAACTCGGTTTTGCTGAGCCACTAAGAAAGAGAAATAGAGGGGTTAGCAATGTTTGTCGCCGCTATTCTCAAGCAGTCATAGCTAAGTTGGGATTTCAGCCTAAATTGAACCGATGCCGCAGGAGATTTCATTGAATTCTTTTATTCGGTGATGGAACTTCCACTCTGGGGTATAGCAGGAAGGAAGGAGGAATCCCGCCACTGCAGCGCCTCTGGTTGCCGCCGCCGTTCGGGTGTCAAAGAACTAAAATAAAGACGTTCAGCCGCCGCTGGTGATCTTGGTTCGTGGTTCGGTGGTTACAGAAGAACAAAAATGGAGAAGAAGAAGAAAAGGAGAGATAGAGAGAGAGGGGGAGAGAAAGACTGAGGAGAGGTTGTCGCCACTCTCTATCGCTTGAAGGGAGAAGACGGTGAATAGTAAAAATCCCTCCCCTCTTTGCGGGCGAAAATGAAGGGGTCGGTCTCTTTTAAATGGCGTCAGGGTGTTTTTGTATGTTTTAGAAAATTAGTGGGGTATTTCATAATGCCGGAAAAGTTTGGTCAAACCGGGTTAAAGGGTGGTCCAACCGGGGTTATGGGTGGATAGTTGAGATTTTGGGTCAAAAGATGGGTCTGACATTAGAGGGGGTTTTGTGTGTGAAGGTTAATAAGATTGGCTGAAACGAAATCCTTTTAGATGCATAGGTAAATGATGATAGTTTTGACTGAAATTTGATAGGGTGAATAAAGGCAAAGGTAAATGGGGCGAGTAAAGGGTAGTTTTTAGATGCAGAGGTAAATGGGGGTTTGAAATAGAATTTTTGTTTGATGAAGGGGCGAATAAAGGGAGATTTGGGTGAAAATTCACAATGTAGGGTTTTTAGGCAATTTAAGGTGATTGGTAAGGTTAGATTGAGCCAACTGGGCCCGGATTGGGCAGATTTGTCATCCAGGCAATTTGGAACATTGAAATAGAATCTTGGCATGATTGAAGGGTAAACGGAGGTATTTTGGTTTGATATTCATAGGGTAGGACTTTTTGTGTAGTCTGAGCTAATTGGTAAGGTTATGTTGAACTAACTGGGCCTGGATTGGGCAAATTTGTAATCCAGTCAATTTGAAACCTTGAAATGGAATCTTGGTGCGATTGAATGGTAAATAGAGGTATTTTGGGTTGAGATTTCACAGGTTGGTATTTGGGCATGTTTGGGATCTGATGATGAGGTATGATCTAATGGTTGAAGTGTAAGTGAGGGTTGATCGGGGCCATCAGATATATATCAGGCAGGTTTAATGGTGGATTTAATGGCTYTCGGGGTGAAATTCGGATTTTTTGGGTGTTTTGGATGAATAAGGAAGGTCTGACAAGGCATTTAAGGCGAATTAGAGGTTTAGGTAATGGACCGAGAAAAAATCAGATGCTAACATGAATCAAGAGTTAAGTGTTGCTCAACTATAATTTCATGAATATAAAAAGATCTTGTTGATTACGCCCCCAACTGCGCCTGGGACGAGAACGTCATAGTCCTGGACCAATATCGAGTTGGGATCAATGGGGTCTCAACCTTTGAAATCTTTGAGTCTACACTGCTCTTTGGAATGTTTGAGTAGTTTTGCTATTTTTTATGGCACGTGTGATTATCATGTGACACTAGTATCGCAAACGCCTGCAAATTTGTATTTACACTTTTAATATGTGATTATTGATTAATAAACAAGAACAGAGTAAATCTCAACAAATCACCGGTTCCATTTTGCATCGTTCAGTGAACCGTCAACGTCAATGGTGTAAATATGTATTTACACCCCCACAAACAAATGTAGCCTTAATAAAAACTTCCACTTAGGCTGCGTTTGGAAATGATGCAAATAAGTTTGAATGCAAATATGTAGAGKGTAAATAAGTGTGAATGCAAATATGGGTTAGTTTTGTACTGACAAATTTACTTTCTTACCAAACAGATTTTTAGTTGTAATGGATGCAAACATGAATTTTAATAAACCATATGTTTTTTTTTTTTATCAAAAGCCCACTTGAATGCAAATTTACTTCTTTTTTGTTGATGTACTTTTACATCTTATTATAAATGTAAATATGCATTGGTTTATCATTTGTCAATGCATAAATGTAATGTTGCAAACACAGGYAAAAGTGAACCAGAGTGCAAATATACCCTAAATCGGAATTTACACTGTTTGCATTGTTTCCAAACGCAGCCTATCAAAAAAATTCCCTGTGAAATTTTTATAATTTTGAAACTTTGAAAAAGAAAACAAGAGAAAGAATTTGTGATAGCCCGACCCAGCCCACGATCATCCCTATATCACACTTTACAAAAAGAGGGGGTTCTGTATAATTAGGGCTGCCAATGGATCAGATATTGGTCCAACCTGAGCCAATTCAATATGAATTCATTACAGATGGAGCAGGTCTAATTCAATCTGATGAATACATTGAACCATTCTAGATTGGTCCAATTCAATGTTTGGACCATCCAATCTGTTCAAATTGGTTTTAATTTAAATTGGGTCCAACACAAACCTGGTCTATTGACACCCGTACTCTTATATATCTTCTGTCAATGGTTCGGATATTGGTCCAATCTGACCCAGTCCACTATAAATCCATTACAGATGGATCAGATCCAATCTAATCCGATAAATACTTCAGACCATTAAATGAAAATTGGTCCAATTCAATATATCTTATTGGACCGTTCAACCCATTCAAATTGATATTGATCTAGATGGGCCCAATCCAAACCAGGTCCATTGACACCCCTATGTATAATTTACCCTAAGGAAATAAAGAGACAACCTAATATACAATATTCTTATACATGATATTGTCATTAATTTGTCAATAACTTTTCCCTATAAGGCAGAAACAGACGAAGGTGAGCCATTTTGGAGAGTATTGCAGATAAAGGAAGCGCCTTTAAGGCTTTTATTAAGAAATAAAAATTTACTTCCAAGTGGATATCGTATTTTTTTCTTGTACATAATGTTAGAGAATAAAATCACCTCAGTTAACCGTTTAGGTTTTATGTTGAATGGTTATTTCATATGGTATCAAAGCCTCTTTGATCAGGTGGTCTCACATGTGTTAGAGAAAAAACAAAAAATTGAAGAACAAATTTTATGAAATTCCCTAATAATTTTGCTGAACTTTTTCTTATTTCTATCAAACCAAAGCCTTAATGCTCTTAATTTCTTCTGTACGCTGTTTGCATTTGTAGGGTGATTGCTAGTAATGATATATAATGGAAACAACTCTGATCCACCAGGGATCTTCCATCTCACCACTGAGTTTGATGTATAAAAGGATCCCCATCCTATATTTATGAAAGAAAATTTGGCCAAGAAATGAGAAAACTTTGTTCATTTATTTATATATTTGTTTAACAGACATAGAATGGAGTTCAAATCTCCGCCCCACAAGGGGCCACCCCACAACGTCCCACAGGGCATCCTTGTTGTGTATTAGGAACATCTCCCAATGATAATATCAATCCTGATGATGTCATCATTGGGAGTTGTTTCCAATATAAATAGGAATGTGCTGTGGGACGTTGTGGGGTAGCCCCTTGTGGGGTGGAGATGTGAACTCCATAGAATGAGCCATCTTAAAAGTCCCTGACCAAGCTGAAATTAGGAATGGCAATGGGACGGGGTGGGGATAGGGAGTAGTTCCCCATCCTCATCCCCGTCCCCACCTCTGCAAATGGGGATAGGCATTTCATTTAAAAAAAATAAAAAATAAAATAGTTTTGGGCCTCAAACATCTCCAAATACATTCAAACATATTCAACTGTAATTTTAAAAATGTTAATACAATTTCATACTAATTAACCAGAAAAAATATAGAAACTCAACATAAATCCCAAGTTGTATAAACAATCAGTATATTAGAGTTCATATCTGCTGCGATAATCCATCTGTCGTGTAAGAACGTATGCTTAATTTATCTAAGCTAATAGATGTGTCCAAGAATCTTGTTCAGAATTTACAGAAAGACTTGTTGGGCCGAGGCCTAGCCCCTATCTTGCCAGGTTATCAACATTCCAATCTAAACTCCAAAGGGAAACTGCTGCCCCTACATGTGATTTGAGGGTTCCCCGTTCAATCACAATCCATTGGTCTTTCTATGGACAAATGATAATCTGGAACAGCCGAAAAACAAGTTAACGTATATATTGATTATATAATTTCTTTATAGCACAGTGAGCTTAACCATTCTTAATACAGGGGGACATAAGAGAGCTAAAGAAGAAGAGAGAAAATAAGCCCAGTCTAATGGGTACAAGATTAAAACACACCAGCTCAAACAAATTAAAGAAAAAGGGAAACCCCACAACACAAGACAATACAACACATCTATTGAAGGCATTCATGGAGGAACAACCTCCAGTCAGTCCCTTGTTCTTTTCTTGCAAGTTGCAACAACAGTCCATCCCAATTGATGATTAGACTTGAGGTAAATATTTCTCATCATTGTTGATAAAACCTCGATCGATGATCAGCTGGAACAATCACAGAAACACACATACTCATCAGACGACTGCTTGCTTGAACATGAAGAAGACATGCAGGCATGTTATCTGTTTAAGCGAGGGGAAGAGAGATAGAGAGAGAGAGAGAGACCTTATTCGCAGTTGGCTGGTGGAGTGAGTTTGCACTTGGTAGGGAGTTGCATGGCAAGGTCTGGGTCAATGCCGAAGGTGGGCAACAGCAAGGAGTGCTTATAAGAACAAAGGCAAGACAAGTCAGCGCCGGACAAAGCCTTGCAACACGCCGGAGTCGGATCGGCAGGGTTTGGCTTGATGACAGCAGGCTTGCAAGCCATTAGGTCATCCTCGCTCATGTTACATAGATTCACTTCCTTGGACCTCGCTACTTGGGTCTCAAATGCGGCCGCCATGATCAGCAGCACCATCACCACCACAAGCTTTCGCTGCATTTCCATCTTAATTTCCTTGGGGCTTCAGGCTTCTGAAGAGATGAGTCGGAGCAATGCAGATGTCTCCTCTGCTTATGTAGGAGATCAGCAAGAACCATTGGTTTGGAGCCCGTGAATGAGAATTGTCGTCATTCACAGCTCACGAGAGTCACTTGGACACCACTCGTTTAATTCCACCTTTTTTGGTTAATATACTTTTTTACATTCCATGGTCATTAAAGCTGCCGGCCACTGGTAATTTAAAGTAGTGTGTCCTGTGGCTCTCGTGAACGGTTTGAAGGGTGAAAACAAATGATGGGTTTGAGGCTTTTGATTTTCGATTACTATTTTGTTTCTAAGTCCGGTTGGAACGGGTGGCCACATGTCCTTGTTTTGGTGTATGGCCATGTGAAAAGTCATGGAGAAGCTTGTTAATACCATCCCTACCTATGAATCGTACTACAATACACACTAATTACAGTTTTTATATATTTTATTGTTTTTTTAGTAAAAGCAAAACTTTCAATTGTATTTGATATGTTCACAGCAGGGTGGCCTTTCGATCTAAGTTAGATCCATTCAACTTTTGACTAAATCAGCTAGAGGAGTATTTGGCTTAGAATGGATTGACTGATCATGTGGTGTAAAACCATGATCATTGAGACATTTGTATGCAGAACTGGTCAATTTGTGATGTTATGCTTAGCCGATGGTTCGACCTTCCTACTTCACAGGGAGGGACGTTGTTGCCATATGTATTAAAAGGCAGAAAGCAAGAGTCACATGGTATGAGAAATTCTTCATTCCTGGAAGGCTATCAAAACTTCCAAATTAAGGATTCTACTCAATTCGGATTGTACAAGATGGGGTCCAATGGTGCGGCCCAGTTCTGGCCTAACACATGGCCATGATTGAGGGGAACTTTGGGAAATTCATCAGCTATATGACCTGGTAGCAATAGTCTAGGTTAGAAGATGAGCTGACTAGGCCGGCCTTGACTACATGTCCCTCATGAACCAGGAACTAGATAAGGACAACTAATGCAAACACCTTGGATCAGGTAAGGAATATGTCTCCCATTCAGGTTGTAATTCTTTGGTGGGCACATCTCTCCCCCTTTTCTCTATAGATAGCAAGACACCGCGAATAGGGTGTGCACACTCTAGCCCTTTTTTTTCTCTTGTATTTTCACCTAGTCCTTTGCCTTCTCTTACTTTTAACAAACCTAGCTAGCTTAGCTGGGCTTGGATTCTTCCCATCTTGTTACTAATTACTTGAGCGTTAGAGGGTTCATCCCTGGGGATACACCTCGGGGACTATGATGTTATGCACGTTGCATATCTCTTCAGAAGTAGCTTAATTGGTTTGGATATGAAACAGAGAGAGTGTTTTGAAGAAGACTTGTATTGACTTGATGTGTTAACTGAGAAGGTACAAGTATTTATAGATGTTATACAGAGTTTGAGTTATAATACAATTGTATCACAACCGAAGGAGATCAACATAGGATAGTAGAGTCCATAGCGGTTGGGGCTTCTCCCTGAACTGTATCTTTATCTTATCTGTATCATGAGAGACGTGCTTCACTGTCTCTCTTACATGCCCCTTCAAGCTGAACAGAGGAACAGACGCTCAGCTTGTCTTTGAAAGCAGCAAACCAGGAGTGCGGTAGACTCTTAGTGAAGACATCTGCAAGTTGAGCTTTAGTAGGAAGGTAGCATGCAGAGAGTGCTTGTTGTAGAAAAAGATCACGGATGAAGTGAAAATCGACTTCCACATGCTTCGTACGAGTTTTGAATATAGGATTAGCACTAAGGCACAAAGCACCAAGATTATCACACTAGAAGATTGGTGGAGAAGGTGATGAAAGGTGTAATTCTTTCAGCAAATATTGTCTCCAAATAACCTCTGTAACAGCAATAGCCAGAGCCCGAAGTTCAGCCTCCGTACTCGAATGAGTGATAGTTGGTTGCTACTTTGCACTCCATGATATTAAGTTCGGCCCAAGAAAACAGCAAAGCCACCAGTGGAGCGGAGGTCATCCGGACAGCCTACCCAATCCGCATCAGTAAAGGTTTGAATATGAAAAGAATGGGAGGGCCGAAGTTGGAGACCATAAGTTAGAGTCCCTTTCAAATACCGAAGGATGTGTTTGACTACACTCCTAGGTGTAGTTGTCAGTTGAGAGAGAAATTGGCACACTTTATTGATTGCAAATGCGACATCAGGTCTGGTAATGGTGATGTACTAGAGAGAGCCAACAATACTTCGGTAAGTTGTTGGGTCTGTCGAGGGCATGCCATCAGTCTTGGAGAGCTTGCAGTTAACTACGAGGGGTGTGTCATGTGTTTAGCATCAGCAAGGTTAGCTTTCTGAAGTAGATCAACAATATATTGACGCTGAGAAAGAAGAAACCTAGAGGACGTTTGTGAAACCTGAATGCCAAGAAAGAAATGAAGGTCACCAAGATCCTTGATGGCAAAGCACTTAGAGAGACACGAAATGAGAGAATTCACAGCAGCAAGCTGATTACCAGTGACAATGATGTCATCGACATAAACTAAAACATAGAGAGTGATTCCTCGATCATGAAAGAGAAAGAGAGAGGGATCACATGTGGACCCGTGAAAACCCAACTGCAAGAGATAAGCATACAACTGGAAGAACCATGCTCTAGGGGCCTACTTGAGGCCGTACAAGGCTTTATGAAGCTTACAAACATAACTGGGCTAAGCAGTGGAGAAGCTTCTACAAATGGAAAACAACTTTCATCAAATTGGACATGCTGAGAAACAATCAGCTTGCCTGTAGTAGGGAAATAACACATGTAGCCTTTGTGCATAGCACTGTAACCAAGAAATACATAGCGATTAGATTTGTACTATAATTTAAAACGGTTTATAGGGCCTTGGCAGAGGATAACAAGCACACCCAAAAGTTTGAAGGAGAGATATTGCCGGTCAGAGGAGATGGGAGATGATAAATTAAGTACACAGCACAATGAGCGACTTCATCCCATAACCAAAAAGGGAGAGAGGCATGACTAAGGAGGGCCAAGGTAGTCTCAGTGATATGGCGGTGTTTGCGTTCAGACCGCATTCATCAAGTGTTTGGAGAGGCATCAAAGTTCTCCTCCCTAATCACTTTGAAAATACTTGATTTTGGTAGAAAAGAGGTTCTCCACATTGCGTTGAAATTGAAGAAATACGGTAATCACATCAGACTTACAAGCAATAGGATATAACCATGTGAAACGAGAGAAATGATCAATAAAAATAACATAATAACGGCATCCATTATTTGAAGTGTAAGGAGAATGATCCCATACATCAGACATAACTAATTCAAGTGGAAAACGAGATTGAAATTTCAAAGGTAAAAAGGGTAATTGATGCCCCGTGGCACGTTGACAAGAATAGCAAAGAGAACCAGACATATCATTATTTGCATCAACACCTAATGAAGAAAGGACTTGACAAACCACACGAAGAGTTGGATGGCCCAAAAGGGCATGCCATTGAGAAGAATTGACCTAAACACTGCTAAAAAGTTGAGGAGAGGAACTGTTGGACGAACTAGTTGATGAAGGAGCTAAACAATAAAGCCCATTAACATTGGGACCGCGAAGCACTTCCTTCCCCGTGGTAGGATCCTTAACAAAAAAGAAAGAGGGATGGAATTCAAACACCAAATTATTATCTTTTGTAAACTGAGATACAGATAACAAATTCTTGGAAACAGAAGGAACATGAAGTAAGTTATTGAGATGAAACRAACGATTCTTGTGAGTAAAAGTAGAGTGCCCAACGTGACTAAAAGCCATACTTGAACCATTGCCGACTTGAACCTGATCTGTACCACCATAATCTGTTTGTGATTGCAGGTTGCTGAGATCCAGTGTCATGTGATTTGTTGCACCCGAATCAAGATACCGATTTGGATCGAAAGTTGTAGGAAACAATGCTGTATTGGCATGATAGGATTGCGTAGGGGCATTGTTCTGTTCACCATGAAAGGAAATATCGAACTGTCGATGGCAAGTAAGAACAGCATGACAGGAACAATTGCACAGTTGGCAAACAACGCCATTGTTTGAGTGGTCATTGAAATTTGGACCACGACCACGACCACCAGAACTGCGACCTCATCCACCCCTATTGGATCCCCGTCCACCAGACTGATGTGGACTATTATGACTACCAACACGAGCCATATTGGCTGCAGGGGAAGTTGGATCTAAACCAGATGAATGTTGGTGTTGCTATTGGAGCCAAATCTCATAAATGATAAGAAGTCCCTACAGATCTTCAAGAGTGAGAGAATGTGCATCTAATCTTGTAGTAAGTGAAGTAACAAATGATTCATAATTTGGCCCAAGGCTAGCAAGGAGATATAAAATCATATCATTCTCTGAAACAGGTTCGGAGATTGCTGCAAGACAGTTAGCAAAATACTTAGCTTTTTGGATGTATTCATGCATAGGGCTTGCACCCTTCTTCAAAGTTTGAAGCTGGAGCTGCAGTTGAAACACGTGCTTGAGAAGGTGACCCATACGCCTTGGCAAGATCTTGCCACACCATTGTTGCTATTGGAAGTCCAACGACTTGGGCTATAACGCTTTCTGATAAAGAAGAAATGATCCAGCTTAATACAAGCTGATCAAAGCGTCGCCATGTATCTGTAGAGGGTTATCAATCAACATAGAGGGATTGAGGGGATCATCAATTTTAGAAGGTGGGCAAGCCGTTGAGCCATCAAAAAGGCACATAAGATCATGTGCATTAAAAATGGGAAAGAACTGTGCTCGCCAGATGTTGTAGTTTTCACTGGTGAGCTTGATTGGTAGGTAGTGTGTGACGTTGGGCATTGTAGTAATTGAAGTGGTAAGGAACGAAGGTAGGCTAGTATCTGACTGTTGAGAAACTACAACAGCATTAGACTGGGACGAGAAACTACCTTGACCATTAACAACCATTGTTGGCTCTAATACCATGAAACAGACAGAGAAACAGAGTGTTTTGAAGAAGACTTGTATTGACTTGATGTGTTAACTGAGAATGTACAAGTATTTATAGATG